CTGATCAGCTTCTTCTCTTTCTGCATGTCGTCAATATGGTGTCTGATGTTTTCAATTATTTCCGAGTTGTGTGATGTTGATGTGTGCATCGATGTTTTGTTGATGTTGTTTGTTGTGTTTGCTGAAAAGTCAGTCACAATGTTGTTGTTTGATTGATGAGATGGAAAGGTTATTTCATCAACGCCATCATAGCTGTCTTCATTTCCATCCTTTGTGGCTACTTGCAGACATCTCAGTAACGAACTGTTGAGGCTGTTCCTTCTTTTGTTGCTTGTAGCTTTTGTTGTGAATGTGTTCGTGTAAGTCGAATGGTTGTGACACGTGTTCTTTGGATTGTCGTTTGTTTGGTTTGCGAATTTCATTTGATCAACGTTCCCAACTACGTTACTTGATCTTTTCAATATGGATCGTCGCTCCAAACTCGGTTGCGATTTTTGGAAAGAATTAAAAACTAACCCGTCAGCTTTGAACGGATGTCCTTTTTCAGAAACATTGTCACAAATCTGGTAAGTCTGTTCTACCTCGTTGAACAACAAGAATGACACTCTTCTAGCCATTTTAATAATGTTTTAATTCAATGAAGGTTTTAGTTACTGTGTTTTATAGCAATTAATCTTAATACCTTCTGTGTAGTATCTGGTTTAGTAGATAAATTGAACAAAAAGTTTCTCAAGCTGTTTGTAAGGTTTAATTGCAAAACTGCGAATGTTTTTAGGAATCGAATATTTTCTTCCACTTATATACTCGTTAAAAGAGGACCAGCTGCCAGTTATGGTTCTCATTCACAAAGGAATGATCTTTGATCTGATTGTTTAGATTGAAAATGATAAGCCGTCCTAATCGGTGTTGCCCAACATTCAAACAATTGATTTATTGCCATGTGTAATAAACGTTGTAATGGAATATAACAGTGAAAGACCGTTGGGTTGCGGATATCTTTACAAATGATTGATGGGAGCTTTGTTAAAGCTCATTAATTTTATTTATGCATGTTTTAGCCGTTATAACATTTTATCAAATGATCGATTGTTAGAGTTTATTTTGCATCAATCGGATTCGAGTATGTNTCC